TCTCCGTCTGCGCATGCGTGTGCACATCTCCGTCTGCGCATGCGTGTGCACATCTCCGTCTGCGCATGCGTGTGCACATCTCCGTCTGCGCATGCGTGTGCACATCTCCGTCTGCATTCCTCCCTCCCCCGTCCCGCCCTCATTTCTCTCCTCTTTCCTTCCTCCTCCCCTCTCACTGCCTTCCCCTCAGTATTTCCCTCCCCCTCTCGCGGATAGTAAGGAATAAGTGATTACTTTTATTCACTATTAATGTTACTGCTTAAAACAGCAGATGAAAGGTCAGCGTAAAGAACCGGCAACTGTTTATTATTATTATTATTAAATCTTTATTGCATGTAATTCAACTACAAATACATGTACTGAAGACAGTCTTTTTCATGGAGAAAAAATCTGATAAATGCAAGTGTTGAGCAGTTAAAATAATAAAATTTTTGAGTGATACAGTACATTGTGTGATACATAGTTCTGAGTGATACATGTTACATCAAAGCTTTACATATTGTCACAGGACTGTGACATGTATCTACGTGAATGACAATATGAAACGACTATTGTGTACGTTGGTAATCAGCGAGCTATAGCGGCTGTTTAATCTGCTGTCGGCACTCGTGTAAAACAACCATTTTTACTTTATATATGAATCTAAGGTATATATGGTGACTCTAAAAAACTACTTGTCACAGATTGTCCTTGAAAAAAAACATATGTCCTTGAAATGTCATTGAAAAAATAATTCACACTTTTGTGGGAACCATGGTGCACGTTGGATCCTAGAGCGTATATTTGAGTCCTACGAAACGAGTCTATATAACAATGCAGTGATACACTAATATAATTTTTTGAAGATTATTAGGAAGAAGATATATCAGAAGCCCATGAAAAAATAAGACATGAATATGTGTTAAACTTTATTTCACAAACAACAGCCGATCACATAGGTTAAACGAAGAAGCTCAACTGGTAGCCAAAACTGTACGCACCGCAGTTGTAAATGCATGCAGATATATAACAATACTGAACTAGCTGAAGCCCCAGTCATACGGATTTACTTTTACTAATTGGTAACCACGTTCTGGAAGGCCATGCATTTTGGCACATTTTAAATACGTGCTGCCCTTTAGCGTGTAGAAGTACAAGCAATGCTGAACATATGGCACCGACGACATACGTCCAAATGACTGTGTTTTCCTCAGGCATGAAACACTTGCTGACATCTTGCCTGTCCGCAGTAAATTTGACCTAGACACAAGAAGGTTAAATAATTAATTTTCAAACATTACAAAGTGACTGTGTGAGGCAACTATGAAGGAAAAAGCATATAATTACAGCCACATGCCAAACCTCTCTAAACAAAATGGAAAAATAAGAGCGACCGAGAACAATGACCAACATTGATTGCTATGAGCAAACATCCAGACCATACACTTTTTCATCACCAAATCTCTGCACAAAAGTATACAAAAACCGTTTTTCAGATTTTCCTAAAAGTGCACAACAGCAGTTGACCACTTGGACCTCATGGTTCATGTGCTTGCGATAATATGGGTAATTTTAAATGACCTAGGTAGAGGAGAAGAGAGAAGAAGACGAGAGAGAAACAGAAAGAGAGAGAGAGAGAGAGAGAGAGAGAGAGAGTTCAAACCAAATTTTAATTAATAAATAATTAACAATTCATTTATTTAAAATAAATTTTCTTTGAAAAAAGGTAATCACTCGGGCAATGATACTAAAACAATTATTCGCCTCAGGCTCGTTGAATCTTGTTGAATAACACATAATCCAGCGCGTATCTAAGTGCCTTCAAAAATCGTAATAGGCATGTCATGTGTTGCATATTAGTTACATGCCTAATAACTAATGAGTTGTAATCAAACAGTATAACCTCGTTTTTGCGGCTTTGGAATGCGACCCCCTGGCAAGGATGCTGGACACCAAATCGTGCATCCTAGCCAGGGTCGGATGATTTATTCAATTATCATAAAAACTGATAATTGATAATTATCAGTTATCAGTTTTTATGATAATTGAATAAACTAATTAAAATAAAATGATTATATAAATTAATTATAATTAATGATCGCCACCTACCTGTATCTGGGAGTCGGCACACGATGCTACCAGTGTGCCATCGCAGGAGAATCCTGCCGATGTCACGCCCGTGCCATGGTCGCCTCCGCGGTGGCCCGCATAGGTCACGAGGGCGCCACCAGTTGCGCTATCCCACACGATAGCCGTCTGATCGTCTGAGCAGGAAAGGATGCGCGCGTCGTCCGGGGAGAAATGGCAGCCGTTGACAGCTCCTGTGTGACCTACATATACACGTTATTACATTACGTTACAATGTGTTACGTTACCTTGTGCTGTGCTGTTGTGTGTGCTGTGCTGTTGTGTGTGCTGTGCTGTACTGTGGTGTGCGGTATTGTACTATACCATGCTATATTATATGTAATTGCAGTCATCTCGTGGACATGTTTTTTGCATAATGTTGTCTTCATTGTAACTTCACATGACTGGGAAGGAGGGAGAGAGGGAGCATGTGAGAGCAAGAGAGAGGGGAGAGTCTGTACATCTGTCACCATATGAAAACCTCCATGGGGATCTTTATTCATGAGCTTATTTCATCACATAGCAATTAGCATAGTATTAACTTGTTAGATACTTGTGGCACGATTGTCAACACTAGGTCAAACACCAAAAACGAGTTAACCTCACCAACAGAAAAGCTGGGTTGTTCCTGTTCCTCCAGCTAAATGATGGCACAGTCCACTCTGGGGTTCCATCCGCGTGCGTTCTATGACAGCCATGATGTGTGTGGCCAGTAAATACTGCTCTTGGTCTGCACTGCGCAAAAACCTGCATAACAGAGAGAATCGCTGCTGAATAGTTCATCATGATAAACCCATTATTCAGCCGGTGGTGCCGCCTAGTGGTGTTCTTATCCTCATCTCACTTGGCCGCTGCCCTGCCACCATAGTATACCACAGTGACGTATTTCAGATGCCCATAACTCCATAGTATAATAATGTCCATAATTCATATTCATATGTTAATATTCATAATGTCCATATAAGTTCTCCGTAAAACCAAAAATAAAGCGGTTGTTTTAAGCGGTGTTAAGCAGTGAGAACGAATGACAGTAGTTGTAGTTTGTCCTATCAACCACCCACCAACTCTGATGCTTCTTTAGACAGGCACTCCCATTTCTCCCGGAATTTACTAGATTTCTCGCTAGATGGCGCTGCATCTGATCCCGTGCAGTTAGCGTCAGACGCGCGGTACATTGGGAAGTGCTGCATCACGACGGGGCGGGAATAAGCGACACCGAGCCGTTCCACACACGTGCTGTCGTTGCGCTGCAAACAATAGAACGTTTAGACTGCACAGATAAACATTCTTGACGGCTATACGAATTTAACCACACTGGTCAGAGGCCTGTCAAAAATATGGCACGCACACATGTAAAATGACGGACGAAACCAGGTGAACAAGATTTACCCAGCGAGATCATCCAAGGTAGTGTCGTTATCTTGCTGATCTGGGAGATCGGTAAATTAACCGGTCAGTTCTTGTGAGTGGTTAATTTACCGATCTCATTTAAAAAAATTTAATTATGTTACAGCGGGCGGTGAGAATCGTTGACCTACCTCCGCACATCGTAGCAGCTTCCCGACGTCTCGAAGCCGCGTCTCTGCCTCCCGACACATTCCGCATCCGTCTCCCTCCATCGCGATGCTGTTGATGAGGATGAACAGGGACTCACGCACCGGCAGCAGCTGCACGGAAGGCGAGCGGAGCGCGTCGCGGAATCTGGCGTGAAGGTTTCTGCTGACGCTGTAACAGGCAAATGTTAGCATCAGCATCAGGGCTGTTGTTTCTGCTGAGGGTGGTGCTGCTGTTGGTGCTGGTGGAGATGGTGGTAATGCGGCTGCTGCTAGTGGTGGTGGTGATGGTGGTGGTAGTGGTGGTGGTGGTGTTGTTGTTGTTGGTGGTGGAGGTGGTGCTGCTGCTGCTGCTAGTGGTGGTGGTGGCGGTGGCAGTGGTGGTGCTGCTGCTGCTGCTGGTGGTGGTGGCAGTGGTGCTGGTGGTGATGGTTGTAATGCTGCTGCTGCTGCTGGTGGTGGTGGTGGTGATGGCTGTGCAGCTGCTGCTGCTGGTGGTGGTGATGGCTGTGCACCTGCTGCTGCTGGTGGTGGTGATGGCTGTGCAGCTGTGCGTGCGTGTTTGTGTGTGAGTGTGTTACCGGCAATCATGGGTCCGATGAAACTAGAGCAGCCCGTCGCAAAGCTGACGATTCCTTCAATCTGCAGCAGATTTCTAACTCCGAACAGATCCACGGTGACTGCCTCCTTCAGCGAAGCGCTGACACCCGTACCGAGTCCGTACAGACACAGATACACGGGAAGCATCCCTCGCGATGGCACGAAGCAGAAGAGAAGGGAAGTGCCTCCCGCTAACAGCAACCCGCTCGCGTACGTGAGCTGCAGATTGAAGAACGAGCTACCGGAGATGAGAGCGATGGCAAACTGCACCAGCGTGCTGCTCGTGCCTCTAATGAGGCCCATGCGAGCCACAGTCTCTATCGTCAGGTCCATCTCTAAACCGTACTTCACGACGAACATGTAGGCGACCTCGTTCCCAGCGTGGTAGCACAACAACGACGCGCAGTACAGCACTAGTTTCTTGATTACGGCGCCGCTGAGAGCAGCTGCCTTCTTATTCTTCGTCCTGCGGATTGTTACAGATGACGTCGGCAGCGGCCGGAAGAGCATCCCGGCGAACATCAGATGCGTACATATTCCGCCGGTGATAAGCAGCGCCCCCTGCCAGGTGAAGGTGTCAATTAATTTGACAGCGAGTACCGGAGCGAGCAGGTAACCGGCAGAGCTCGCGCACGATGCAAGAACGGACGCCAGAGGGCGATACTTGTCGAAGTAGAAGCCGACGACAGCAATCGTAGGTGTTAAGGCCAAACCCATGCCGAGGCCTGTAAGATCAATCGAGCAATTCCTTGAGAAGATATAGCAGAATATGAGTATACCACGAGTAAAATTATACTTAAACAATACATAAATATATATAATATATAATATATATTATATAAATAAATATATACATGATAAATATACAATAATTATATCCCAGTAATAAAGCTCATGGTATTAGTATGAACAAGTAATAGTATACAGTACCGGTGCAGCATGTAATAACATATATGATAATATGTATAATTGTATATACATGTAATGTATTATATGATGACAGGTAGCATGTCTATTAAGAATTATTATGAAATTATTATGTACGTTAGTAAGATTTGTGGCGCGTGCGTTTGCCTCCGTGCGTGCGTGCGTGCGTGCGTTTGCCTCCGTGCGTGCGTGCGTACGTGCGTGCGTGCGCGCGTGCGTACGTGCGTGCGTGCGTGCGTGCGTGCGTGGCTGTATGTACAGCTTACCTGAGAGCAGTGAATAGCTGGCGAACATCACAGGCAGGTTGTCGGCTCGGTAACAGAGACTCATCCCCATTGACATGAGCAGCCCGCCACAGATGACCACCCTATTGATGCCAAAATCCGACGCTAGGGTCGCACTCACAGGCCCTGATAGAACAATGAAGCTCTGATGCTGCGCCACAATTAATGAAGCACTCATAATTAATGTCGCGTGATGTCATGCATGTTATACTATCCCTGTACTACTATGCCTTCACGCATCCATCCATCCATCCATCCATCCATCCATCCATCCATCCATCCATCCATCCATCCATCCATCCATCCATCCATCCATCCATCCATCCATCCTATGTTTTTGCCTACCCACGCGAGCATTCAGGGTTCATTACAGTGTGCTAATACAGGGTGCTAATACAGACTGCTTTAGAAAATAATATGATTTAAGGAGCGTAAACACGCACGGCCGGACGGACGCACGGACGCACGCTCATGCGATTCTACAAGCTGCATCTGACTATGTCAGATGAGCTAAAAATGAGTACTTATCACACATTCAAACCAAAATAACATGGGAAGCGGTAGGTATTTGTCACCACTCAAAGTTTAACCGTACGTGAAAAACGACTCGCGTCATATTGCTGCGTTAGTTTAATAAACCGTGCAGTAAGTAATTCTAACCGTTTCTCGTTTGAATCTGAAACGGACCTGCAGATTACACACATAAGGCTGCGTTGATTTGCTTATATGCTCGTGCCCCTGTGAAGCACATGTCAGATATAGTTGTTGATGACATTTCAATTGCAATCGTTTTCTTCCCCCCCCCCCCACACACACACACACACACTGCTATCCTGCCGATACATTCACACTCCCACGCTTACACTCCTACTTTTTTTTATTGAAGAGCAGACACGCAGGCATACAGACAGACAGACAGACAGCCTGACAGCCAGACAGACAGACAGACAGACGGGCGGATTGACCAACATGCAAGAGTAACTGCACTTGAAATAACTCGCATGATACCATCTTGGTGATATTCTTATGCTCGTTCAATAAACTCTACAGTAACCCTAACCGTTTCTTGTTTGAATCTGAAAATAAACCTGCAGCTAACAGCCAAAATGCTGCGCTGAGTTTTTCATATGCACCTGTCACGCATCATGACCATATCAACTGCAACCGCACTCCTCTCCTACTGTTACATCCACGCCCTCACATTCACAATTTATTGACATGACCGTCTCATATCATCCTATGCACACAGTGCCACACACGCACACACTATACAGTGTTTTCCCCGCATTGACAAGCGAGGCGGGCCGCCTTGATCAAATTCTCAGCCGCCACACAGAAATTTGTCCAAAACACCGCCTCGCTGACGAAACCTTTGACAACTTGAAAAAGAGATTCAAGAGTCTCATACAAGGTGTTCAGAATAGCTTAGAATGCACCAAAATGCATCATTTTTCACAAATTTCCCGGGAGAGTATGCCCCCCGACCCCCTTACCCTAGCTTGGCCAGCACCTGTGCTGCTCGCTTTACTAGGACCTCGAAACGCTCAAACACATTACAAAACACATTTACCACCCCACAGACCTCTTTGGCCTGGGGAAACACAGTATATATATATATGGTGTGCGTGCGTACGTTTTCTCTATAACAGGCAGCAGTTTACTACCATAGTACTAGTAACCTACCGGCTACCGTAAGCAACGGTACATGCAGGGCCATTTTTTATTCATTTTTTAAAAGTGTGTCTCATATGCCATAAAATACCAGTGTAGTGATGCAAATTCATGCGAGTGAAAGTTAATTTCGGATGCTTGGATCACATCGCTTGGATACTGTCGTTAATATATACTGTTATCATGTGCATACCTATAACATACCATTATAATATTTTAGTATCATCGCCCGAGTGATTATAGGAAATCCTGCGCGCTGATTGGTCGAGACCTAGGTGATTATTTTTCAATAATCACCTCTAGGGTTTACATTGTAGTGGCGCCAAAAATAGCGGCTAGATTTGTTTCTATAATTGTTTTAGTATCATTGCCCGAGTGATTACCTTTTTTCAAAGAAAATTTATTTTAAATTTGCTGGTGGTGATGGTTGTAATGCTGCTGCGGCTGCTGCTGCTGCTGCTGCTGGTGGTGGTGATGGCTGTGCAGCTGGTGCTGTTGGTGGTGTGGTGGTCACGGCAGACGTGGCAGCTGTGGCACTAATGTTAGCGGCCACGGTGATGGCTAACACGGTCCAATCATGATTAACAAATCTACGATTCTAACCAAGTATCAATTTAATTAACGTACTACCCACTTTTATTATAACAAAAACTAGATAAATAACTAAATCTTTAGCCAGTAATCCAATTACTATTAATATTTTGATATTAAACTTGCTTAGTGTCCGTCCGTACGGGATTGAATCATTCAGCGCAGTGTCATGCACTACCTTCGATGTACAAACCTGTGGTAGTGAAAACCGATGTCGTGGTTGCCGGCGACAACGTAGAATGGCATGCTGCTGGGCACCTCAAACATGCTGTAGAAGCGATCAAGCGTGCTCTCAAACTCTTGCTGGCCAGACCAATGTCCCTCGTCAAACAAGTCACCTAGACAAACACTCGCACGATTCGCAAATTACAAACATAACGAGAATAACTGGAGCACATGTGCAGGCAGGAGCAGAAGGGAAGCAATCCACATGTAGCTACTGTCACAAGCACTATTACAGTGCAATTCATATTACTATCACCTTCCGTTATACGGTATTGTTATTGTCGAAGTACTTTTCAATGGCATTAAATACGACATGATGACCAGCAATTGCTGACCATACAAACGCATCACACATATGTATGTTTATATACAATATTGTTTTTCTGTGTTATTGATATTAATGTATTATTTGTTATGCTTATCTACAATATTGTATACGCTGTGTAATTGCCTTCTACGTCGTGTATGGCCAGCCAGACACTGAGACTTACCTAGTACAAAAACAGCGTCTGGCCTGTGAAGAAGCATGGAAGTCTGGAAAGCTCGCTTCATCTGCCATTCCCTGCACAAGATATATTTGAAATATCTGAATTATTTCTCCACGAGATTATGAGAGCGTCAGTTCAATAGTACTTTAGTACCTCAACATTGCAATGAAGAGTTTCGTGTTAGGGTTGGGGTTGATGGGTGGGCTGAGGGTTGAAATTAACAAAAATGGTCCTCAACCCAAAAGGGCTATTTAACCATATCTCGTACTCGACAGCACAATAGCATGCAGTGTCCACAGTAGGATGCAAACCCAAAGATTTTCGGCTCATAGCCATGTGCTATTCATTACACCACCACTATAATGTCGATCTCCCATACGCGGGGTGCAAAATTAACGCGAATCCGGAGTCAAATACTCCCTGATTTACAGTCGGACTCCGTGCTTTGACATATGCAGGAGTCCGTGCGACTCCCTGAAAATTCTGCCATACTAACTATACTAGTGCGTTCCAGAGGACGGCCTTACGGAATTACCGTATTTTTTCAGCAAATATCCAAAGATAATTTGGCAGACGTGCATCACATGAATCTTCAAAATAAGCGCATGTGTTATTGTTGTTACGCTTTAGTTTTGAATTTCAGACTGCGGACTCCCTCATTTTGCTGCGGACTCCCTCTTTTTGAGGGGAGTGAGTCCGTTGGACTCCCTTGTTCAAAAGTTAATTTCTACCCCTGCATATGGATTTGAATTAAGTTCTGGGGGGTAGTGTAACCTACAATCGCCACTGCGTAAAACAACTACCAGTTGTCTTCCAGACCACAAGCAGAAGAGGTTACAGGGAATACGGCTCAGTCGTAGTTTGGGACCCCGGGTTTAAAACCGATTTTTTATCTGATAGATGGCGCCACTACACCTATATACAGAGTGCTAGTTATAGCAACTGAGCATATAAATGATATACAATATACATATGGCCGGGGCCCAAACTAGGACTGTGCCTGGTACACGGTAGCCAAATTCTGAATACCAGAAACCTGCCTGCTGTGTATATACTCTGACTCACCGTCGCAGCTTGTCCCACCAATGTCCCCTGCGACTGCCGAGTAAATGCGGGTCGGCCAAGATGAGTGCATGCAGAGGTGGCGACGCCACGCTATCGGGAACCACCAACGGCCACGAGCATTGCATTAACACGATGAAGTAGACTAAGAACTCATTGTACAATAAGAGAAGAAGTGCCAGCGAGAGCACCAAGAGGAAAGACTGCGACAACTTTCCAGTTTTCATGTTGGTGAGACAGGAGCTGGTTTATCAGCGCCAGCATACCAATTCTAAACGACTAGATGTAGTTTACACGGTCCATGGCGTAGTTAGTCGGTCGTACACATCATGAATGATCACAGAAACATTCGTTGCTTGGTTGTGAGCGGCATGCAAATTGCAATGAATGATGCATGATCATGACGCAGTGCACCAAGATCACGCTGATCGATGCAAAAGCATAGCAGGCAAGAACTCTTGCTTTCGGCTAAACCGACAAGGCTCTCCGACTGTTACACGTCGTAGGAAACGTAGTGTTAAGCGAGAAGGAAACTTGTGGCTAGCTTTCGGCCAGACTAGACACCACACATAATAATATTTTAGTGCCTTGGTAACGCCTGTAGGCGTGGGAACTTATATTCAGACAAACTTTTTACAGATAACAGAAGCGTGGTTTTGGTCACGATCAAAACAAACGCTTACACCTAGCCCCTTGTTTTAGATTTACGCGTCGGAAGATTTTATCCAATCAGCTCTCGAGTAATTCTTGTCATCCTAGAAACATGGCAGCGCCCACGAAAATGTTGTGCGTTCCACGATTATTGCTGTATTCTGGTTATTTTGTAAATAAAGTTGTTTACAGACAGTTATACTTAAGCTGTGTAAAATGCCGGAAGGGCAAGCCAACAAAACCATTGCACGTTAAGGCCGCTAGAATTATGGATAAGATGCTGACAGGACAAAGGTAGCAGCTCAAACAATTATACAGACTGTTGCGTGTTGGGCATGTGATGACTGATGTGGTTCATACTCAACTAAAATTATGGAATGTCCTAAAATAACCTAACTCTGTCTTCATCTTCGGTATGGTACCGTGAGTTGTGAAGATTAACCTTTACGAGTTAAGAAGATGTGTGTTATATAAGTGTCTCTTCTTTGTTTCAGGAAGAAGTGGTTTGTTAGAGCAAAGGTAAAATTATTTCTCATGTCACATGTGAAGACGTAAGTCACTTAATTTATATGTCTATGTAAATTGCCATCTAGGTGCACTTAATTACCTTTTGATGGTAGTGCTTAACAACATTAGATTATCCTTTGACAGTTCACATAACGATTGTTTTCTCTGTTCACGTTTCAGCCACCAACTGATGCACTGAAGCCAGAGCTAGAGTATCTGAAGCCAACGAAGAAGCAGTTGTCAGGGGAAACACATCGTCAGAAGATGCTCAACGTTATCCTATTTGAAAACATCACAGACCTATTAGCATACGGAGAAACGAGCAAATACCTCGAAGGTCATCGACTAGAGATCAGTCAGGTATCAAAATTAGTTTCGCTTAATGGAAAACGTCCCCCTTACCTCATTTAGTACTGCGCGTTGTCGATTCAGAGATTTTTCATTTTTGCAAAGGACCACCGATCACATACATGCAGTTACCATGTAATAACTCCTTCAGTAGGTGACAATCTATCTCCTTTTTCAATCTGGTTTAGTGAGTATGTGAGATAATTTTACAAAACAGAATCTTAGCAAAGTGAAGTCATCGCTAACGGAGATCCATCCGGATGATTTGCAGGTGAACGTGACACACGACTATAGTCACGTGAATGTTTTCTGGCTGGCCAGTGGAAGCTCGAAAGACCAGCAGCTGGAGAACACACTGGATATGGTGGCTTATAACCTAAGGTTTGAATAAGCCCACCGTAGTGCAAATTATTGAGTTGTTGCTCCGATTTTTTGAAAAGGGCAATTGGTTTTGATATTTGACCTTGTGTTGGAAATCGTGCCACTTACAGTAGTGGGGGCGAATCATGCGAGCTCAAGGGCACGAAGCGCCCGAGGGGGAGGGTGTTAGGCTAAAATACCCTTGTCCTGAAAATTCTAGTGGGGGGCAACCACCCCCTGTGCCCCCTCTGGAGCTGCCACTGACTTATCAAACAAATTAATACTAATCTATGCAGTGAGATTAACCTGTGAATAAAAATCCCCAATGGAGGTTTTCACATGGTGACGGATATACTAACACTACTCTCTCCCTTGCTCTCTGAGGGGCTACACCGGTAGAGCTAATTAAATCCTAATTAATCAATTCTCTAAATCTGTTTGCTCATGCAGCGCAATCGACCTGCACCTGATCTGCTCTCAGACGGCTGCTTCCCCATTAAAATGTCGGTTTACGGCACGGCGAACGCAGATTGTCATTCCAAGCCTTCCCATGTAACATACCTGATAATAGCAGCTCCTGTTCCAGCGTGTCCATGTTCCACAATCGCACCGTGCAGTCGAGGCCGCAAGTGACTACCCTGTATCCAGCGTGTGATGTCGCGCACCCCTGCACATCACCCTTGTGACCTGTGGAGACACAGGGTATGGTGACAATTCGTCATGCAGCGCTCCTTCTTATGTATATACGTAGGCGATAACCACACTTACTATCGCCCCCGCCCAACCTCTAAATACTCGTGAGACTGCATACAACGTTGATTATAATTTCTCTACCAGTACCATGTAAGGAGTATGCTTTCGACCATATTTTCATTAAGAAAGGGTGTCCTGGTTGGAAACCATGGATTAAGCAACGTGTGTAGCGAGAAAGACGCGGGAAGCGGCACGCGTTTATAACAGATATACTGCGGCTACATCCGAGCCCTCCCGTGGTGATAATGAACCTCGATCGCGACACCTAGGTGCGACAAGAAAGAAGAAGCGATGGTGGAGGAACACCTGCTTTCGAAGTCGCACCGTGAGAAACGTGTCACTGTGTCGCGCGTTTATGATCCCAATTACTAACAGGCTTAAAAGACGAGGCCCAGGCCAAGCTCGGGAGAACCTGCCTGTCCTCCTGACTAACCCTTGTTCCCCTCTCTTGTTTCTATCCGCGTCTCTAACTCTCGATTGTACCGTTTGTACCAATTGCAGAATTTCTATCATGTCTGAGAATAAATGCCCATGTGGTACGTTACGAACATAGTTATTGTTTGCCTCTGTTGGTTTGAGTTACACCCTTTCCTACACCTACGCCTAGCCTTAAATCGCCAGTAGATCCACGGCACTCCTGCGCTCGTCCATTACACTGGTGCCGTGACCAGGACCGCGCTCCTCCGTTACACATACATAGTCAGGACTTACGCTTTCAGCACTAGACCTATCTAATGCACTGCATATCAAACCACATGATCATTTATTGTCACAGAATAGCTCCATGACAGACCATTCTAGCTCTCTAAGATTAGCTCCACTGAAGGCCAACTTCATGCATTCAGGCATCGTTATGAAGCTATGAACTGTTAAGGTCCATTTTTGGTTCAGTGCATATCATATTACCAGGAGTGTATAATATAGATATCTATATTATATAAATATATATATATATAGGTAGGTAGATAGATAATGATTTTTCGGGCGATCGGGCCATTTCTGTTTCAGTTTTATTTACACTGTAGCACTCACGCACAAAAAAGGACACAAATGATGTGAGGATGAAGAAGTCCAGTTTTATATTGGAGTAACCATCGACGTACATTATACGAAACGAAGAGATATATGCGAGAACTCCATTAATATACTCTTGATTAATTATATGTGGTAGATTTTGTATTGTGAAAATCAATAAATAATATTTATATATAGGATAGCAAATATTTATAAACCAAAATGAATCAGCAATTTGTGACGTAGTATGGCGGCTATCATACCCGCTTTGATGTTGCTTAGAATAAATCATTATATCATAATAATAATAATATAATAATAATAGTATAAATCATAATATGTTCATAGCAGGAATTTTGCATTGAAGATATTGTCAATGAAATCTTGTAAAACGAACCAGACGAGTGTGACACCACAGACTGTTATCTGCATGTCTATATAATATGCTATATAATTGCCAAAACCTACCTAATTTGCATAAATTTTTTTTCAATATCAAAACCCCTGTAATACGTTTTGGGGCCAGCCCTTATTCATTCACATACCAAAAATGAGCAAAATCCGTTGAACCTGAACTGACTAATGGCAAATTCCATTTTTGCCAAAAAATTGCCGTGGCTCGAAAGTACGTCGACTGGTGTGCTCCAAACTAGGACGTTCAATATGGGAGCATAGCAGTAACAACTACACCCAATTTCAAACATCTGGGTCAAATGGTTCCTGAGTTATCGTTGACCCTAGCCAAATGTTGACGGAAGGACGGACGGACGTACGACGTACGACGGACGACGACCCATGGCAATAGCTCATCTTGACGATGTCAAGGTGAGCTAAAAAGTAGCCGGCCAAATCATGAAAGTAGACGGCGGTTTTTGCCGGCGGCTGGCTTAATTTGACAAGGCTGGCATTGTTTCTTAATTATATTTCAGAATCTATTGTTATCTTAATGCACAATTAGTATGGCCTGGAGCAGAGCTAGATACACTGTGCAGGTTGCAGATAGAGACAATTGGGTAGTTAAACGGATGGATGAATGCATGGATGGATGGACGAACGGAACGACGGATGGACAGAGAGACACACAGACTGACAGGTAGACAGACAAACAGACACACTGACAGATAGACAGACAGACCGACAGACACACTGACAGATAGACAGACAGACCGACAGACACACTGACAGATAGACAGACAGACCGACAGACACACTGACAGATAGATAAATAGATAATAGGTTAACTACATAAAAAAAAATTGGCAAAACAGCACACATCATCAGGCATTATGAAACTTGTGATGTATACGACCACAGTTTCACAGCGCATATAATAACTTCAAAAGTAGCATCATCAGATAACCGAGAACTTCAAAAACCTCGTAATAAGAAAGCGTGTAATGCATTGTTTGGAATATATTTGTCGCGTGAACGCATGTCGCGCGAGCCGGGTCAGTGACAATATCGGTGAACGTGTGTAGTGAGTTGTCCTCGTCAGAATCAGGATTAGTGAGCGAAGAACTGTAGCTCTCATAGAACATCGGGTGGGTCGTCTCATCCTTCAGATTCGGTGACGGACCCTTGCCTTCTGAAATATCAGCGTGCCTTCATTATGTGAGATTTCAAATTACATGCACAGGCACGCACACACAAATACGTACGAACGCATGCATGCACATACACACCCTACTCCCTCCCACTCACCTATACACACTCATACCCACCCTACTCCCACCCACCCTTACACACTCATACACACCCTACTCCCACCCACCCTTACACACTCATACACACCCTACTCCCACCCAACCTTACACACTCATACACACCCTACTCCCACCCACCCTTACGCTCACCCTTCACGGGCGGAGAGTCAGACAATTGCTCGGGCGTTTTCCCAAGCAGTTTTTTGTCAACGCTCCACAACTTTGCCGTGCCGTCTGCCGAGCAGGTGACCAATCGCTGATCGTCGCTGGACAGCGCGCAGCAGTAAACGGTGTCCCTGTGACCCATGAATGCAAACAGCTCCTGTCCGGCCTGAGCGTCCCACAGCTGAAAGGCAAACAAACGTCGGGCGGGTTTAGGGAAAATCGTGCCCGCCAATCATTACAGTATCAGGAGTGACTAAAAAACGCAATTTATTTTCAATCAGTCGTGACATTATTATATATCTTGGGGTTTCATGCTACTGAAGAAATGGGTTATGCAAATACACGTTTTATTATCTTGCTCTTTATGCTACTGGATTTGGTAGACTCATAAAGGTCAACATCCACAAATTCAATCAGTGTGATGTATAACGTCGAATGTGTAATAATGACAACAGTTGTGATCAGCTAAAGATTTTCTTTTAGATGGGCAAGTGCAGAGGAAACACAAACTGCATGTATCAATTTCATTCCCTTACTTTCACCATGTTATCAGCTGCTGCGGAAAAGACTTTGCTGCCATCGGGTGTGAAGCACGCATACCGCACAGCGCCCTTGTGCAGCTTGGTGGTCAGTAGGCAGGAGTTCAGTACCGACGCTTTATTGCTAGCAGAAATCAATGCATTCCCCGTAAACACCAAAACAAACTAGCTTGTGTGTGACGAGGAGCATTTTCTTTAACAAGGAATCTTAACCTGACACAACAAGAGGGCTTGGTTCGCAATACATACGCTTACATGAGTGCAATTGAGCAACATTTTGTTATTCAAGTAATATTTTATATAGAGTATGGAGTATTATATAGAGCAGATAATAATACATAAAATAATAATGGTCACGATCTATAATAACAGTAGAATAAAATAATAGTATAAATAGTAGTATGTATAATAACACAACATGGCCATAATAATATTGTTACAAGATGCATCACACGTTCGTTCATCACAGAGTCGTGTGTACGTCACAGAAGCATCACAGAGAACAGACCACATCTCACCACCAATTCAGATAGAAGCTGCACGGGTTATGCTCGGCGTGCACCCTGGCCTGTCTGTAGACCTCCGTGTCGGAAGGCTGGCACAGTGCCAGCTGCATCACATCCGGCATCTCAGCGCCCGCGAGCAGGTGTGCATGGACGCTTACAAACTGCTCAAAGTCCCTCTTCTTTGACGGAGCCTTTGGGCATCAGAGAAATCGGTTGCAAGAACAATGAACCAATTATTAGTGTTCATACATCATGTATTTTATCATTATTTATTATTGTTTTATTTTCTTATGTTGACTGTCAGAAGGAGGCTTCACTCTATTATTAAGATGCTTTATAGCATGCTTGCATAATTTCCTGACCGCACTCTTGCTCTCCCTTTGTCTCTTTCTCTTTCATTCAGCCTCTTATTCGCTCTCGCATTCTTTCCTCATCTCTCTCTCTCCCTCACCCATCTCTCTTTTTCACTTGCTCTCTCAAGCAGTCTCTCTTTTTCAATGTCTCACTTTCTCCCCTTCCTGCACCCAACTCAGTGTTTCTCACTCCCTTCCTCCCTCCCTTGCTCTCTACAATTCCTTCTCTCTCTCTCTCTCTCTCTCTCTCTTTCTTTCTGACGTATCAGTGACAGCTTACATGGTGGTCAATCACTTTGCCGTAGCGTATGTAATCGTGTAGAAGGTCTGCCGGCCCCGTCACTCGCACCTTTGCATCAACAAACCTGAGATCCAGTAGCACCTGTAAAACATCATACAAGTGAGCATAGGCAGATTCTATAGTGTGTGACCGTACTCGTAGGTTAAACAACTGGCTGCAATTGCAGGATTGCGATGGCAGATCTCAGAGTCAGTACTCAAAATAGAGTGAATATGAAACTTGATGGATTCATTTATGAGCATTTCGAACCTGCATTTTACTTATTGTTTCCTAAATTTTTGGCTAAGCAGAGGCCAGCCAGCCTCAGAAAGTGCCGTCTGAAGCACTAAAATGTGCTGTTGTCTGTATAGTGTCTGCGTGCTGTATGGAGACGATACAACACTCCCCCAAACCCCTCACTGCTAGTTATTGCCCCTCCCTATCCCGTTGGCCCATTCCTGGATCTGCCAGTGTGCCGTACATATAACAGAAATGCCGTATTTCGTGGGTTACGCAAGTACAGTGCACTCACCTCTGCGACCTCACTGTAAAGCCTAGCCTTGAACAAGTGGTAAAGCAGAAACCAGTGAATGTAGCCATCGTTGGGTAGGTTCCACAACTCTCCACGACACACTCGCTTGTAACTGTCGACAAACTTTTGGTGAAGTTTCTGGAAGAATACACACAACATTTAATCTCGTTATGGTAAATTATAGATCAATTTTAATTTAACCTCACATAAATTTACTCGAAGACAGTAACAACTGAAAGGACATGCATCACCACGTACACAATGACTATTGATTGAAATTCTTTTGCATAGTATTCCATGATTGGAGCCTATGAATGCCCGATAACCCCCTCCGATAATGCCGATTAACTCTCCTCCTGTAATCCTCCCCCATAAACGTCCTCCCAATATCCCTGCCATTAATAGCATTATCAACACAAGCATCAAAGATAACTGTCGACAACCCAAGCGATCCATTAACCGACTGCAAAAAATATACATCATTACAATATATAATAAATATATATTATATTAATTATAAAATTATATTAAAATTATATTATCACAAATATATATATATATATTAATATTATCAAAGCCAGCCCACGCACGCTGATGTCCGGCGTGGCCAGCTTGAGGAAGTCAAGCTGAAGGTCGTGTATGCTGTGCAGGAGGTCGTCACTGCCCGGCTCCCTCGGCTGCTGGTAGACAAGACTCTTGTCCGCCAGAGCCTTCATAACGTCCTCAACGTCCTCAACGTCCATGTCCCAGAGGCTGCAGAACACCTGTGGGGCAAGCAGACGCGCAGGCATGGACTCCAGCTCGAGCGTGGGGTCACTACTCACCGCGTTATCACTAGGTACATGCAACATAGAATCTATATTATGCTATCTATCTGTGCTATATTATTTCTGCATGACATAGCTTTATGCTATCTATGATGGTATGCACCTAACCTCCGTGGACACCCTCCCTCCACCACCCTCTTGTCCTCACCTCCCCCTCCCTCCACCACCCTCTTGTCCTCACCTCCCCCTCCCCCTCTCTCTCATCCCCGTTGCGTGCGCAGCGAAGACGTTGCGGATGTGCTTTACAGAGTGTGTGTCGTCCGTCCGTCCCACACGCCCACGAGCGCTCCGCAGTGAACACTTAACGATCGCGGCTCGGCTGCGGCTCGGCAGCTAGCGGAGCTGTGAAAACAGAGCAACGGACGACCTATAGGTCCCACGGGCTCCAGCTGTTACGCCAACACCCGGTGACCGGTCGGGGCGGTGGGCGTAGAGATCGGTCAGTGATTGTGCTTGCTGTGATGTACCGATTTATTGATCAGTCATCGATGATTTTGTGATGTGATGTAACGATTTATTGATCAGTCATCGATGATTTTGTGATGTGATGTAAAGACTTATTGATCAGCCATCGATGATTCTGCTGCTATGATGTACAGACTTATTGATCAGTCATCGACGAGTCTGCTTTTTACTGTGATGTTAAGCCTCATTGATCAGTCATCGATTAGTCTCCTTCTTACTGTGATGTCAAGATTTAGTATTCAATCGTCAGTTGATTCTGCTTTCTTACTGTGATGTTAAGACTAAGTGATCAATCATTGATGTGTCTGCTTTCTTACTGTGATGTTAAGACTTAGTGATCGATCAGTCACCAGTTCATCCTGCTTTCTGCTGCCGTGTTGTTGCGGCTTCGCGGTCACTCAGCTGTCCGTTATGTTTCCGACTCTGACGGTCAAAGATCTAATGACCAGCAAGTATAGGCAGTCCGTCTGCTTCTGACTGTGACGTCAGCTGCTTCTGACTGTGACGTCACCACGTAATTACCACGTATATCCGTGTCTCTACTTGCAGCTTGCAGTTTAGCGTTAGCTTTACACTTTATCGTGACTACCATAAGAATTATCTGTCAATCTGGTGTGTACGGTGATATTTGGGCAAAACTGTTTGCGCCTCGCCTATTTATCGCCCGTGACGTCAGAAATTGTAGCTGATTGTGAGTTAATAAGTTGAGTGCTCAACCCTCTCTCTCTCTCTCTCTCCCTCTCCCCCTCCCTCTCTCGCGTGCTGCTTCACACACTCTCTCTCTCCTTGCAGACATGAGCTCATTCAGCAGCACGTTCTCGGCAGCGTGCCGCCGATCCGCTTCACCAAGGACACGACCGTTGCCAGGGGCGACCGCGTCCAGCGTCTGCTCCGCGACGCAGACTACGGTGACGACGACGACGACGTCGCGCAGCGACCTCTCCGCGACCTCGCCGCCGAATTCCGCGAGGGTCCCGTCCTGCAGAGGGCGCCAGCGTCGTCTGTCGCCGAGACGATCAACCTCACGCTGCGGCGCGGCGCAGCGCCCCCTGGCGGCGACGAGCATCTCAAGAGCGACGTTGATCACGCGGCGCCCCCTGGTAGCGACGAGCGTCTGAAGAGCGATGTCTTCGGCGTGGATCACGCGGCGCTGACGCGAGATCTCGTCGCGCGGAGGAATCGGCTGAAGACGGCGGAGGGGTGGTCCGCCGAGGCGCAGCCTCTGCCGCCGCTGCTGGACAGACGCGCCCTGGAGCGATTCTTCGCGAAGAAGACACGCAAGGAGGTGCTTCGGAAGGAGATGAAGAACTATGATCCGGGAAGGGAGCTGCTGGCCAGCACAACGCGATTCGAGATGGACAGCCGCGAGTCGGAGTGGGATGACCCCGAGGAGGAGGAGGAGGAGGAGGATGTGGAGGATTCGGTGTTTTCTGGCGGGAATTGGGATCATTCCCGTGGAGGTGTCTACGCGCGAGGAGCGAGCGAGGAGGAAGATGATCGGTTGGACGACACGGATGAGATGACAAACATCAACACGGACGAAGGAAAGTGAGACTGTGAATCGTAGCAAGTGATGCCTTCTCTTTGCATTTGTCCACTATCAACTTGGTGCCATCAGTTCGGTTGTGGCTCAGTTTAGACTAATCACTCCCTATTAGGGAGTCCCTAAGCTACAAAACTGGGGACGCCAGAGAAAGATGTGGTCTGTGTTGGTAATTGCTGTACGCATAGCGTTTTGGTGCAATAAACATCTTTTGATATTCAATTTACAAATGTTTTGGCACTAACGAGCAGAGATACACTCTGTTGTCATGTGTGCACTTATATATAGCTATTTGTGTGTACGCGCGCGTACATGTGTGCACAAACACATATAATTGCTAAACACCGAATGAATCAGTTCTGCTAGTATATCATGCCATCATAATTGTTATTTAACTTTTTACAAGCACAATGATAGCCACAATACAGTACTGAATAACGGACAACATCACACCTCTTCTAGTTCAATTTCTCATCGACAAACACACAGCTAATTTCTAAGAATTACCATTTAAGGCACGCGTACAATAAGAAGCACGTGATCGACTATACATAGTCAGTGAACACCTCTAAAGGTAAGGCGTTCGTGTGGTTCTTCAGTGATAGGTAACCTGATCGCTAAACAGGCAATCCGTTTTCACGACGTAATTAACACGTCACTTTAGTATCACATTCATCTTCTTGCCGTCTTCATCAAACTGCTTGATTCCGTGTGCGAGTTCATACCTCCAGCGTAGGTAGGCAAAGAGTAGATCAGTGACGAGGAATATCTGAAAGAGCGGAGAGATGAACTGCCGTTATGTTTGCATCGCACGCCAACCGCCTCTGTAACCTGGCAACGATTACAGACGCAGGGGTCCTCGTTGCATCAACATCCGTGCGGTTACGTTGGAGACTGCCGTTATGGGGCAATGCCGTTACATCGAGCTAGACTCGCATAGAATCGCGCGAATGCTTGGAGAAACACAAGAACATTTCCACATGGACACATCACCAACAGCTAATAATACATGAATGTATTACATAATGTATATATAATAATAATATATTATGTATGTATAATAATGTAACACATAATGTAATTATTAGCTGTTGACATCACGTTGGTGCGTGCCAGCAGTCGTTATCATGTCTCGTTGTAAACCACAACAACTTGGCAACAATCCATCCAGACCGTGGAGTGATGGGACGACAACCCAGAATTCAGACGCTCTCCGGGGAACCATCCCTCACTTACTAATTATTATCATTATAATAATAAATAATATTTATTTATAGATCAGTGGTTCTAGTAAGCACTCCCTGCTCGCTCATTTTCTATGTCATATAAAGCTCCGCCAGGTGGCAGTAGAGACCGGTTTATAATCCGCACGTGCGGTACACTGCAGACTGTCGGTCAGCTTGGCTTGAGTAGTTTCAGAATAAATGAGAATTTGAAATTGAATTTGAAATAAATAATATTATAATAATATATTACAACAATTACTCATTATTATCGCTACCTCACTCCCAAATTGAACGACTTTGCAACCCCCATTTCCGTTCGTTTGTCCCCCACTGGTCAAGAATCGGAGTATGGTGGGTGGGGGTGGCGTCGCTCCTGCCCAGAAAAAACCGACCCTACCTGAGCGGCAGAAAATGCAAGCGTGACGGCGAAGTAGAAGTTAGCGTTGGCGCTGCCGGCGTAGATCCACAGATGCCAGAGGACGGGTGCCAGCGCGGTCGTGCAGAGGAACATGCATCCGACGACGAAGCCGTTACGCATCGCTGCAACAACAGATGGCGCTACCGTTATCCGACCTCAACACGTTCGGGTTGTAAAATAGGCCACTGACAGCAGTGTGCACCTGGGTCAGTGTGGCTAACAGTCCCACAGAGATGCTGCCACCGCGCACAGCACGCTGACTGTGAGACCGTGTTAGGAGTAACAGTTACAACCTGCACGATCGCCCAGTAGATGGCAGCACGGATGCGCACCGGGAAGATAGAGCAGAGCATATAAATCACCGATTTTATGCGATTTTATACGATTTATGCGATTTTATGGTGATTTATATGCTCTGGATAGAGCCAATTGAAATGTTGCTTTTAGTTTTTGACGTTGCTTTTCCTTTCTTGCTATGACGTTGCTTTTCCTTCCGCTATGAAATGTCACAAACGGATAAAATACTGACTAGACACGTAAATGGTGCAAAACGCACGGACAGCCACAGACTATAATGAAACAAATCAGCAGCTTTTCACAGTCCATTAGAAAATACGTAGAATGCCACAGTAAAGCTGATGGGGTCTATGTCCCCCAGGGTACTATCGAAGGGTACCCTGGGTACAATTCGATATATCGGAAAGTACCTTGGAGTACTATACGATATGTCGCTGCATACCCTGCATTGTCCCACCGTACCCTGACTTTCAGCCAACTGATGTCGTAATAATTACACTCTGTCAAGTTACCACATCACATAGAAGAAACCTCAAAACATCGCAATCCAATATAAATGTATGCTATGTTTGACTATATTTTTCTTTTTCCTTTTTCATATATTCATATTTTCATATTCATTTTCATATCATTCAAATATTCATGATCTGAGAGAAATCTTTCCAAATGTACACCACCAACGGGCACAACAGTGCTATCAACCTGCATGTTGCATATAATTACACGGTGATACATACAATTTCCAGAAGAAATGCGAATACTGAAACGAATATTTTGCGGGAACGGACCGGAAACAAGGAACGGGAGCATAAAGTCGGGGTACGGTGGGACAATGCAGGGTACGCAGCGACATATCGTAAAGTACCCCGACGTACTTTCTGATATATCGAACCGTACCCAGTGTACCCTCCGATAGTAACCTAGGGGACATATATACCCTATCAGCCACAGTAAACGCCTGTTAACAATTACCTAATCTTGAGCGTCT